GGGCTTCAGGGTCCAGGGTTTTAGGTCTCAGAGTTTAGGGCTCAGGGCTTCGGGTTTAGGGTTTTAGGGTTTAGGGTTTAGGGTTTGTGGGTTTCGTGTTTTGAGGCTTCATTCAGGGTTTCGGGCCTCAGGGTTTTTAAGCTTCTGCCGTGAAATCACAGCAGAATCTTGGTCGATCCAAGGCTGAAGCCTGCGACTTCCGTTGTCTAGGGGTGCGCGGTCAACAGCATTCTGCAATCACGTAGGGGTTGCAGGTTGGGATCTTCCCCCTTAAAGTAGCAGTCCTTAATAGGGATTACGGTAGAAGGTACTTTCATCCTATTAAGGACTGTTAGTATAGAGGAGAACATGCCAAGCTACAGAGGTTACAGGGATTCTAGGGTTTACAGGGGTTGCAGGGGTTGGAGGGGGTAGGAAGCCTCTGATAACTTCCACCCTGCCAGCTGGATACCCGCGGAGCACACCCGAAAAACCTCAACCCTAGACCCATAAACTGTAAGCCCCGAACCCCGCGAGCGTACCCTAAACCTTGGAACCCTAATGAACCCTGATGACGCCCACGCCTGAGCAACGAGGAACCTTGTCAGCACCCACGTCATGGTCGAGCTGCGATCTGCAGGCAGGAAGCCCCAAACCCCAAAACCAAAATCCACGAAAAACGACCGAGTTTAGGGTTGATGGTTCCTTAGCCCGAATTAAACCCTAAACCCTAAACCCCAACACCAGAATCCCCCCCCCCCAAACAAAAAAACAACGAGCCCCCCCTTTTAGGGAGCTCAAAATGCCTAACCTTTCCCGGCTCTTTCAAATCCTGAGTGAACAGTTTCTAGGGTTTAGGGTTTAGGCTTTACGGCTTAGAGGTTAGGGTTTAGGGTTTTGGGTTTAGGGTTTAGGGTTGAATCCGGCCATGCCCTGCAAGCCTAAGGGAACCCTACTTGGAGCTTCATGGTACTTACTAACCAATCATAACTGTACTGAGAACTGTACTTATAACCATATTAGGGCACTTAAGGGGCGTAGAAGTGGGTTGTAAGTGCAGTTATAATTGGCTGATAAGTACCATGAACCTCCAAGTAAAATAGACCCCCAAACAGCAGGATCCCCTTAGAATTAGGACCCCAGTAAGGTACACCTAATATCGTAAACCCCCAGATGATTTATGGGTTTAGGGTTTACGGTTGAGTCCTCGACCCTAAACCCCAAAACCCTAAACTCTGGGCCCCAAGCCTGTCTGAACTCTTTGTATGGTTTTAGGGTTTAGGGTTTGGAGTTTAGGGTTGACGGTTCGTTCCCCCTCAGGATACGTGGAGATCTGCGGTAGCGAGAATGGCGCCGTCTCGACGCTGCGCGAGTACTTCGAGAGCGAGTTTTCCGCGGAGGTCGAAGCAGGATCGAGGGCTAGTACAGGGTTTGGGGCTTCTGGTTTCGGGTTCAGGGCACAGTTTCCCAGAAGCTGCAGCTTGCACATCGAGCAGGTGGTCGTCCGTTGCCAGGGAGCTTCATCGTTGAATGCACCATGGGGGGTTGGCGAGCGTAGCAGCTTCGGCTTGCAGTTGCCAAGCCAAAGTGTGCCGCAGCTGTGCTTGGATGCAGGCGGGAACGCTGAAAATATTATCGGTGCGGCCTGATTCCGAAGATTCCGAGGCTCAAGGAGTGTAATTAGGGCATCTTGGCAGACCGTCCGCGCTCTCCCTCTCTCTCTCTCTTTCTTTATTTCTTTCTTTTTTCTTCACTCTTTCTTTGTTCTTTCTTTCTTTTTTTCCTTCTCTCTCTCTCTCTCTCCTCTCTCTCTCTCCCTCCCCCTCCCCCTCCCCCTGTCTGGGATTTTTCCGCAGGAGCTCCGTAGAAGATGGGCCCGTGATTGCTTCCTGAAGGCTTGTTTTTGCATACTCCCGACGGGCGTTGGCCCCCGAGGATTTTCTCCAGGTAAATCTGCGGCTACCCCCCCCCCCCCCCGGGGCTCCTCCAACGGCTACTCGGGACAGTAGACATACAATATGCACTTCCTTGTCAGATGGCCGCGTGCCAATATAGACTGCCTGTACAGGGCCGGGGCCCGCACACGCGACATACCCCGTTACATAGGGTATGCATCCATGCCCGGGGTTTTGCGACAGACCTGCTTGTTGTCTTGTTTTGCAAGCCCCGTTCATGGCATCCTCCAGTCGTGTATTCGCGTCCCACAGAGGTCTGTATCGAGATGGGCGTTACAGAGGTCTGTAACAGATGTGCGCGTGCGCGGTCCCCGACCACCGGGGGTTCTGGCACACAGCCAGGCCATATCTGACATTCTTAGAAGTGGTGGGTGGGGGAGGTTGCAGCACTACACCGCATAAGGTCATTGTTGGCGGGTACTAGGAATGACTCGAAACCCTAGACCCTATACAGTCAAAGGCTTAACGCGCTGAACCTGCATACCTGAGGTTTTTAAACACTAAACCCTAGGGTTCACGGTTCGGGGTTCAGGGTTGTTTAGGGCTCTCAACAGTAAGATTGTGAGTGAATTATAGCAGGTGTATTATAGTGTCAAGGGTATAGGGGACATATCCTGAGAAACCATTCATGAATCAGGATTGAGATGATGAGGAAAGGGGACTTGCTTTGGGAATTGGGGGACAATCCGATGTTAGGGCTTTTGGGGCGCAAGGGTTCCACGACGAAGGACATGACGAGTTCTGCGACGTGTGCCTCAAGGTCGCTCGCGCACTTGGGTCGGCTATCACTCGTTTGAAATACGAATGACCCCTTACAAACCTCAGAGCCTAAACCTTGGCCCTAAACCCTGAACACCAGTAAGGTCACCACTAGTTGCTGAAGAACCCCCCCAAAAAATGAAAAGGTTGTAAATACCTTTATTTTATAAGGAAGAATACTATTAATTTTGGGAGAGGTTCTAAAGCTAATCTCTATATACCCTTATTACAAGGAGGAGCATTATCATGTTTGGGGGAGGTTCTTAAGCAACTCGTAAGGTCAGCAGCGGCATGTTCAAGGAGCGGGGCCGAAGTGGCGAGAACAACATTGGCCACCTGACCAGCCGCCTGGGCAACCTAATACAGGGTGTCGGAGTAGCTACGAATCATCTTCCCTTAGGGTCCCTTTGTAGTTCTACTCGAATTTCCCCCCCCCCCCCCCCCCCCCCCCCCAAAAAAAAAAAACCTATTCCAATTATTCAGGCCCCTATAGCAAACCGGCCACACCCCATCCCGAGACCTCCTAACAACCCACGAGCCTAAACCCTAAACCCTAAACCCTAAACCCTAAACCCTAAACCCTAAACCCTAGACCCTAAACCCTAAACCCTAAACCCTAAACCCTAAACCCTAAACCCTAAACCCTAAACCCTAAACCCTAAACCCTAAACCCTAAACCCCAGAGCTCAAACCCTGAGGAGTCGGCTTCTGATGGGTTGTGTTGAGTGTGTGCCCTTGCAAAAAGTACACAAGGCAAAAACCTGTGGATCGGCCAGGCGTTTTGGCCAATGCCCCTCTTTCTGGAGGATTTAGGTTTTAGGGTTTAGGGTTTAGGGTTTAGGGTTTAGGGTTTAGGGTTTAGGGTTTTTTCCTGAATTCCACCCACGGAAACCAAACTTCTTTGTACCATCCATCCGCACTCACCTTCATCCCAAAAAGCCCCCCCTTTCGCTCAATTCATATTTCAACTGCTTCGAAGGCTTCAAAGGGCAGATCCGAAACATTCGAAAAAGCAAAATGTTTCAGAAGTTTCCGCTGTTTCAACGTTTCAATGACAAATCCATCGGGGAAACATGACGATCTCAAAATGCCCGAACTACTTGTCTTAAGACTCTAAACAAAGTAGCTTTCCGTGCCTTTGACTCAAACGCTACGCCTGCACGCTTACCTTGCCGAAGCAACCAAGGAAAACCATATTCTATCAGCAATTAAAGAAGAAATCCCTACTTATAACTGTCATGGAACCTTCAAGTAGGGTTTAGGGTTCAGGGTTCAGGGTTCAGGGTTTAGGGTTTAGAATTTAGGGTTGTTTGTACATGGTGCAAGATGTCGCCCGCCGGAGTCAAAATACTCAACAAGCTTGAAAGGGAGCCTAACATAAAACTGAAAGCCCCATAAACCCAAAAATGGGTTGCCATGAGGAGCCGGAACTATGGCAGCTACCATATTTGACATATAGAAGTGACTTCTCCAGATTCTGATGACATCAGCTAAAGTTCCACAACACCGACCCAGGAAGCCTCAACCCCCCTAACCCAACCCCCTAAACCCTAAACCCTAAACCCTAAACCCTAAACCCTAAACCCTAAACCCTAAACCCTAAACCCTAAACCTTAAACCCCCCCCCCCCCCCACGCAGTTTCTCACATCCGTGGGAGCTTCTCAGGTCAAGTCTGCGACGCCATTGTCAACATACTTCCTGGCTTCAGCCTCGTTACCATCAATGGAGGCCTTGGATGGTTCAAGGGCTTTTAGGGTTTAGGGTTTAGGGTTTAGGGTTAGGGTTTAGGGTTTAGGGTTTAGGGTTTAGGGTTTAGGGTTTAGGGTTTAGGGTTTAGGGTTTAGGGTTTAGGGTTTAGGGTTTAGGGTTTAGGGTTTAGGGTTTAGGGTTTAGGGCTAAGGGCTTAGGGCTTAGGGTTTGGGGTTTGGGGTTTGGGGTTTAGGGTTTAGGGTGTTTAGAGAATCCGATACACCATAGCCGAGGGGTACACATGGAATCGTAGTCATAACGTACTACGGCATGGTCCTAGGCGTCCATGGGTTTAGGGCTTAGGCATGCAGTCTCTGATGGCAGGTCTAGGGCGTAGGGTGAAAGGTTTAGGGTCGTGGGTCTAAGGTTGCCACACCCACCACTCAACAACTTCACTTTCTGCGGCGCAGAAAGCAGGTAACTATGGCGATGACGGATCACACCGAGAGCAGCAGAAACTTGACTTGTCTGCAGCCACTGCTTGCTGGATAGAGAGAATTAAGATTAGCAGCCCTAAACCCTAAACCCTAAACCCTAAACCTTAAACCCTAAACTTGGACCCGAAAGGCCTGAGGCCTTCATGAACACGCCCCCGCCCCCAGCTCTACCTGCTCCAAAACCCTAAACCCTAAACCCTAAGCCCGAAACCCGAAACCAAGGATGGTGTTTCGTTGGGACAACCACCCCCTGCGGGAAGCTCCCCACCTTCTGGTGGAGCTGCGAGAGGTGGGCTACATCGAGGCCCCACGGGGGCTTCAAAGTTTCTCTCTCGCCTTAGGGGCTGGGTAGTTTAATATATATATATATATATATGAAAGAGCAACCTTTCGGGTCTATTTAACCTCTCTTCTTTTCTATTTAACTGATAATTATTTAAATAATTTAAATTATTTAAATAATTTAAATAAAAATCACAACCCATTCAATTATTTAAATCAGTCGGGTGATTTAAATAATTTAAATAATTTAATTGAGACCAATTAAACTATTCAAATTATTTAAATTATTTAAGGAGGACGGGGGATTTAAAATAATTTAATTCAGCTCAAGTAAATTAATTAAGTTATTTAAATTATTTAAATGATCTAAATTACTGAAATGCTCCCAAATCCAGCCTCTGGGCCGGAGTCGCCTTAGGCCGAATTTCCGATCATTTAAATTATTTAAATAGTTTAAATAATTTAAGCAATTTAAATAATTTAAATAATTTAAATAGTTTAATTCAGGCCAATTAAATTATTTAAATTATTTAAATTATTTAAAGAGGCCGGGGGATTTAAATAATTTAAATAACTTAATTCAGGCCAATTAAATTCTTTAAATTATTTGAATTATTCAAAGAGGCCGGGGGATTTAAATAATTTAAATAATTTAATTCGGCCCAATTAAACAATTTAAATTATTTAAATTATTTAAATGCTCCCAAATCCAGGCTCTGGGCCGGAGTCGCCTGAGGCCGAATTTCCGACCATTTAAATTATTTGAACAATTTGAATAATTTAAATAATTTGAATAGTTTAAACAATTTAATTCAGGCCAATTAAATTATTTAAATTATTTGAATTATTTGAAGAGGCCGGGGGATGTAAATAATTTAAATAATTTAATTCAGCTCAATTTAATTAATTAAGTTATTTAAATTATTTAAATGATCTAAATTATTGAAATGCTCCCAAATCCAGCCCCGGGCCGGAGTCGCCTGAGGCCGAATTTCCGACCATTTAAATTATTTAAATAATTTAAATAATTTAAGCAATTTAAATTAAATTATTTAGTTCAGGCCAATTAAATTATTTACATTAATTAAATTACTTAAAGAGGCCGGAGGATTTACATAATTTAAATAATTTTTTCAGGCCAATTACATTATTTAATTCGGCCCAGTTAAACTGTTTAAATTCTTCAAATATTTAAATTATTTAAAACATTTAAATTATTTAAATGCTCCCAAACCCAGGCTCTGGGCCGAACCGCCTGAGGCCGAATTTCCGACAATTTAAATTATTTACATAATTTAAGTGATTTAAATAATTTAAATAGTTTAATTCAGGCCAATTAAATTGTTTAAATTATTTAAATTATTTAAAGAGGCCGGGGGATTTAAATAATTTAAATAATTTAATTCGGCCCAATTAAACTACTTAAATTATTCAAATTATTTAAATTATTTAAATTATTTAAATTATTTAAATTATTTAAATTATTTAAATTATTTAAATTATTTAAATTATTTAAATTATTTAAATTATTTAAATTATTTAAATTATTTAAATTATTTAAATTATTTAAATGCTCCCAAATCCAGGCTCTGGGCCGGAGTCGCCTGAGGCCGAATTTCCGACCGTTTACATTTTTTAAATAGTTTAAATAATTTAAATAATTGCAATAATTTAAATAATTTAAATAATATAAATGATTCAACTCAGGCCAATTAAATTAAAATTTATATTATTTAATTTTTTTAAAGTGGCCAGGGGATTTAAATAATTTAAATAATTCAGTTCAGGCCAATTAAATTATTTACATTATTTGAATTATTTAAAGAGGCCGGGGGATTTAAATAATTTAAATAATTTAATTCGGCCCAATTAAACTATTTAAATTATTCAAATTATTTAAATTATTTAAATTATTTAAATGCTCCCGGGGGATTTAAATAATTTGAATAATTTACTTCGGCCCAATTAAATTATTTGAACTATTTACATTATTTAAATTATGTAAACTATTTAAATGCTCACAATTCCAGGCTCTGGGCCGGAGCCGCCTGAGGCCGAATTTCCGATCATTTAAGTTATTTCAATAATTTAAATGATTTAAATATTTTAGGTAATTTAATTCAGGCCAATTAAATTATTTAAATTATTTGAATTATTTAAAGAGGCCGATAATTATTTAAATATTTTATTTCCGCCCATTTAAATTATTTAAATGATTTAAATGATTCAAATTATTTAAATTATTTAAACTATTTAAATTATTTTAAACTATTTAAATTATTTAAATGCTCCCAAATCCAGGCCCTGGGCCGGAGTCGCCTGAGGCCGAAACTCCGACCATTTAAATTATTTAAATAACTTAAAAAATTTAAATAGTTTAATTCAGGCCAATTAAATCATGTAAATTATTTGAATTATTTAAAGAGGTTGGGGGATTTAAGTAATTTAAATAATTTAATTGGCCTGAATTAAATTATTTAAATTTTTTAAATTTCTTACATTATTTACATTATTTAAATTATTTAAATTATTTAAATTATTTAAATTTTTTAAATTTTTTAAATTATTTAAATTATTTAAGTTATTTAAATTATTTAAATTATTTAAATTATTTAAATTATTTAAATTTTTTTTACATTTTTTAAATTTTTTAAATTTTTTAAATTTTTTAAATTATTTAAATTATTTAAATTATTTAAATTATTTAAATTATTTAAATTATTTAAATTATTTAAATGCTCCCAAATCCAGGCTCTGGGCCGGAGTCGCCTGAGGCCGAATTTCCGACCATTAAATTATTTAAATAATTAGAATAATTTATATAATTTAAAAAATTTAAATAATTCAAATAATTTAAATAATTTAATTCAGGCCAAGTAAATTTTTTAAATTTTTCCAATTTTTTAATTTTTTTAAAGAGGCCGGGGGATTTAAATAATTTACATAATTTAATTCAGGCCAATTAAATTATTTAAACTCACTGTGCTTCGGAAGGAGCAAGCACACGCTCAAGATCGATTCTGACTCGGAAGCTTTGCGCGAGGCTTAACATTCTGGTGTTTAAACAGAAAACATAAACTGTTGTTGAATTGAAAGCATCAGTGTCAATCACGCAGAAGCAATTGATAGCATGAAGCTGAACTTTGCGAGAAAGTCATAATCCAGCACCTGTAAACGACTTTGTATCGGTGTGTATTTGACACTCAGGACTGAGGACACCAAGCTACGATCTAAGCCTCGTTGCAAGGCTACCGTGTCCTGATGCAAAGACTAGGCCCGCTGATCTGATTGACGTCCACAACAGCGTCCTCAAGATCGATGCTGACTCCAAAGCTTTGCGCGATGCTTAACATTTTGATGTTAAAACAGAAAACATATAGTGTTGTTGAATTGAAAGCATCAGTGTCAATCACGCAGAAGCAATTGATAGCATGAAGTTGAACTTTGCCAGAAAGTCATAATCCAGCGTCATAATCCAGCACCTGTAAACGACTTGTGGTGGAGTTCACGCTCGTCACTCGAGACGGGTCACCTGTCATCATCAAGGAGCGACGCATTGTTTGCGATGTCACACAGCCCATCCTGTCTCTCGGCCGCTTGGTGAAGCTTGGTTGGTTTCCATGCAAAGATTATGATGGGGAGATGTGGCTTTCGCATGCTTTGCAAGGCTACCGTGTCCTGATGCAAAGACTAGGCCCGCTGATTTGATTGACGTCCACAACAGCATCCTCAGTGATGGCGAGTCGCTTGACCGATTTAGAATTATATATATATATATATATATATACAGATAGATAGATATATATATATAAATATGGCAACTGTTACTATCTATCAGAACAGGACTAGAAACACTAGTCCACGGGCAACTACAGTGTCATGATGTGCGCGAAACAACAACAATATATATTCATACTCCGCACGCTTCAACTAATGCAATGAGCATAGAAGCAGGTGCGGTACCGTGTCTGCCGACAGACCTGAACCAGGCGACTTCACGTCCGGTGCTTAAGTAAATACAGTCAACTCTGCTTGCGTGAAGTGCGCAACTGTAGTGCTTCCGCGACTCGCGTTCCTTGCACAGAACAGTGCAAAGCAGTTATGAACAACAAGACTACAACGCAACAGCAGCCGAAAAGGCCACAATGCGCTGATCATGACAGCGTGGACAAGCTTGTCGCATGCGAGCTTGGATCTCAGAACTCGCGTACGCGGCCAGCGCGTCTTTGTCGTCTTGCACTGAGGCAGTCTGCAATCGTCCAGTCGAGCTGGACCTTATGGGAGTCCAAGCTTCAGCAAAGCGGATCTGCTGGAAATAGCGCAGCGTGTCGCAACGGCCATTACCCCAGGTACATCCATCCGAACTACAACCCGCATTGGGAGGATCCAGACATCAAGGACGCCGCGTTCACGCGGGAGTCGACAGCTACACGTGTCTTGTCTATGACAACTCGACTCTGCCGATGAATCATGAGAGCATTGCGTAGCTTCTCAGGTACATCGTTGGGCTGGTGCTCCAAATGGGGCTGGGAAGTATGCCCAAATCGAAATCGAGTATGTTTCTTGACTGTGTTAGGAGAGAGAGTACGTCACTCACGGTTAGCAGCGTGACTTTCGGCGAACCGATACGATTGCTCAGTGGACGACCTGGCCAAGAAAATCTTTCACCGCAAGTGCACAACCGCACGCGCAGAGGTCTCCGAGGTCTGGCAGCATTGTGCAGCCGCGCTCCCATTGTACTGCGCCTTATCGTATCTGCAGCTGCCAGGACACAAGAAATTGGCGCATTGTTTCCGGAGCTAGTTGGTACAAAGGCTTTGGGCGAGGAGGAGCCCTGC